AAGCGGAACTGGTGGTCGTCGATGGCGGGCAGGGGGGGGCAATAAAAAGAAGAAGAAGAAGAAGAAGAAGAAGAAGAAGAGGAGGAGGAGGAGGAGGAGGAGGAGGAGGAGGAGGAGGAGAAGAAGAAGAAGAAGAGGAGGAGGAGAGGAGGAAGAAGATGATGAAGAAGAAGCGACGGAGGAGAGGACGAAGAGGAGGAGGAAGACCAAGAATTTGAAGACGAAGAAGAAGACGAAGAGGAAGAAGCGAAGGAGGAAGAGAAGAAGAAGAAGACAAAGCGAAGAAGAAGAAGAAGAAGATCTCTCTCTCTCTCTCTCTCTCTCTCTCTCTCTCTCTCTCTCTCTCTCTCTCTCTCTCTCTCACTAGCGCACTCACCGTGGCGCGCGTCGGGGGGCGTTGGGCGGCGTAGGCTGGGCCGGCGCGATGGCGTTCTTCGGCGGGCGTTGGGGGGGGGAGGGGCGTCGACTTCGTTGGCGGGCGCTGGCTTTGACGACGAACGCTGGCTTCTACGCTGGCGTTGACTTCGTTGGCGGGAAACAAGATCCAGCAGACCAAAAAAAAGGGCCGGTAGGCCCCATTTGAATGAGTTCAAATTCCGCCCATCTGGGCGGTCGATCTCGAGGATCGACGGCCCAGATGAGTGGGCATTTGAACTCGTTCAAACGGGGCCTACCGGCCCTTTCGTTTTTGTTTTTTCACATCCACGGCTTCCTTGGGGGGGAGAAGGCCCCCCGCGAACGAAAAAAAAAAAAAAAAAAACCTCTATGATGCGCTGGGGTCGCCCGGTGGCCAACCGGGTGGGACGACCAGCCAGGCGGCCCGGCCCCCCGCTCGGGCGACGAGCCGGGCGCCGGGCGGCCCGGAGTGCAGCCTAGATCATTAAACCTATCCTGCAAAGAAATATGCTTGCAAGGGTCCCCTCGATATAGCCTTAGCATTAGTGGTAGGTAGGTAGTGAAAGGCAGAAGAATTTGAGAGAAGAATGTAGTGTAGTTCAGGGTCACCAGCCCGTACGTACGGAGGTCCCCGTACGTACGGGCGTTCGGGGTCCCGTACGGGGTCCGAACCCGACGGCGTTCGGCCCCCACCAAAAATTATTTCAGGGCCTAAAAATAATTACTTTTTTCTGAATGTTTTTTTGTGAGTTCTCTATGACGTGAGGTGCATGCCTGTAAAGTTTCAAGTCATTTGGTTAAGCCAAATAAGAACTAAAAATCGCCAAAGATGGCGGTGTCAAAATGTGCTCGCCCACGTATTTTTTCACTTTTTACTTTTTGTTTTCAACTTTTCACTTTGGTTCGGGGTCTAAATAATTTTAGTATTTAAAAAAAAAAAAAATAGTGGGTTTTGTATTATGTGAAGTACACATCTGTACATTTTCAGGGCATTTAGCTATGCCAAAAAAAAAAAAAAAATCGCCAAAGATGGCGGTGTCAAAAACATGCTCGCGCACTCACTAAATTTAATTCTCTTTTTATTTTTATTTATTTTTATTTTGAGTATTTTTTTTCCGTATTTTATTTTTTATTTCAAATTTGGTAAGGAATTCGGATGTGATGCTCAGGCAAATCTTGTTGAATGACTTTAATTTATTTTTCTCCATAACATATCTTTTTTTCAGATTTTTTTGATGACATTTGTTTTTTTCTTTTCTTTTTTTTTTTTGGATCCGCGTTCGGCCCGAACGGCCGAACGCATCCCCAAGGGGGCCCATACGTTCGGGTGTTCGGGTTCGGGCGTTCGGCCCGTCCCGAACGCCGGTTACCCTGGTGTAGTTAAAAAAAAAAAAAAAAGTTCAATAAAGGTATCCTGAAGTTATGGGTCTATGGGTACCTAAGCTTTAGGATAGCTTAGGCTTCCCTAGTGTATGTAAGACTGAGGGAATCCATAAGTCCTACATCCGGTAGTAGTTGCTTGCTGAATACATTGTAGGGTAGATAGGGGCTCGCGGGTGAGGTATAGATACAAGGTAGCTAGAGTGAGGTAAGAGAGAATGAAAATAGAGTAGGACAAAACATACAACTGTCCCCCGTATGAGGAGAAGACGGCTGTATTTTTCTCTCTTTTTTTAAAAAAAAAAAGAACTTCAATGAAGTCAGCAGACTCAGTAGTGTCCTGCAGTCGCTACACCAGCGTTGAGCACCGCGATTGGTTCTGCATTGTGTGGTGGAGGCTTGTTGAATCATCAGAGACAGATGCGAGGGCTTACCCCTCGGCTTAAGGCCCTGCCACAGGAGCGTGCCCACCCTAAGTGAGGTCGGGCCCCCTGAATCTCAATGTGCCCTGAGTTCGTCTTTTTACAAATCTTGGTGGGCCCGAGACAGTTGCCATGCGCCAGTATGTTACATCCACCGTGCTCGTGATAATGCAAAATATTTGTGAGCCTTCCAGGCTCTTCCAGCAACGTGGTCGAAGCAATTTCAAGAGCACCGCACGTTTGTGCCTGGGTGGTTGGGCACGCCTAATCAACTCGGTCCCAGGCCACTGTCTGAACGGGCCTGGGCGCAGACACTTTGGCCGAGACTGAAGCTACTGGAAACTTGGCCTCATGGTGGAAGCAATTGGAAAACGCCCGCCACTTCCCATATAGGAAGGGGCGGGGCTCTGTGTCGGGGGGGTTGGGCACTTGCGTGCAGATGCGGCAGCACTGCTGGAGCTAGCGCTCGCGGGCTGCTGCGTTAGCGCATGGGCAAGTGTACGCCTGCCTGAGGTCCTGCGAGAAGGCAGGGCGCTGCTGAGGGCAGCGCCATAGCCAGCCCCATGTAGCCGGAGCTTGGCTTGGATAGCCAGTGGAGGTGGTGGTGGTCTTCGTGTATGAGGGAGAAGAAGTGGGTGATGAAGTCAAGGGTGTGTGAGAGAGAGAGAGAGAGAGAGAGATAGGGTTGATGATGTGAGGGCACGTACCTGGTCTTGGCAATGGTCTACAAGGGTCGACATCTTCATGTACTTCGGTTCTGCTGCTGATGTCAACTGGTTGCATCGTCAATTCGTAGGCTGGTAGTAGCTGCTTGATGGTAGTCTCGGCGCCGAACGCCAAGGAGGAGGAAGGGCTCTGGAGACATATGTTGGTGGTGGCGAGAGTCTGCTCTCATTGACACTCGGATTCGGTGCTTTGGTTCTCGATTGGCGATATATCGGTGCATTTCTGCTTTCTGGGCAGTGTTGGACTTTCTGGTATTCAATGTGATTTTGCATTCTGGAATTCTGTCATTTCGCTATCGCTCAATTTCCTTGCACAGAGAACTTGATAAACAATCACGCATAGAAGTAACGAAAGGACATCGGGATTAGAAAAAGGCCTTTCCCTGTCCTTCGGGAGATCCATTAAAATTGGAATGATGCAGAGAAGATTAGCATGGCCCCTGCCCAAGGATGACACACATAAATCGAGAAATGGTCCAAATTTAAACAAATTATTAAAAAATAACCAAAAAAAAAAGCCTTCCCAGCATGTGCTGCTCCCCATGAATAGACTGGAGCATTTTCTCGAAAAGAAAACATCGGATATGAAAATGCCGAAAAGCCGCTGCCGGAGGCCCTTGAAGAGGGGCTCCAAATGGGGCAGAGGGCTGGTCCGTGACAGCCTCCCGTTGGACAGGTGGCTAGGGCCGCAAGGGCAAGGCAGCCCTGGAATCTGCAATTTTCCCCTTCTGCGCCGTGGAACCATGCTTGCCGGTGATAAGCAACTGGACTGCTGCCCCCCAGAATAGAAGGGGCTTTGTTTGTATTAAAATTAAAAAAAAAAAAGGGCGGAAAGCCACACAAACAAGGAGGCGAAACGAAGAGACTGCTTCGTGTTAGGAACTCTCTTTTCATTTGGACACACGTGTTTGAGGTAACGGGTGGAGAATCAAAGCACTGGGAAGAGACTGCGCCGTGCTTCCGGTCGAAGCGAAGAGACTGCTGACATGAATGAATGCATCTGTGCTTTTGCTGTGGTGTGGCGGTGGCGGGCTTTATGTAGATCGACGCCACACCCCGACCGTGCGATGGCCCCCTTTGTGTTTCTTTTGTTTTTTTTTTTGTGTGTGGATCCCCTTCTCTCTTTTGTCTTGTTCTCCTTTCCCTTTGCTTTTCTCATAATTGCCCATTCGAACACTGGGAAGCGAGCTGAAAATTTGTGCATATGTGGTCGGTGCTATGGTGTGGTGACCTTTGTGTAGATGACTTCATGGACCTCCATCGGCAGCTCGCAGTGTTAGCCGAAGGATCCGGTGGAGCTCCCCTCCTCACTGTCGGCAAACGAGTGAGCAAACCTGTGACGCCAGTGGAGAGACCTGTGTCGCTGGCGGCTGGCAATGATGATGAATGGACTTTGCTATAGAAAGTAGTAGTCATGATGATTAAAGCTAAAACTCTCTTAGAAATGGTTTGTCCAGCTGCGAGCATATGATGCAGGTCAGGTGTCTCTCACATGTCAGTGGTGGTTCAGCTGCAATCATCGCTTGCAGCGTATGCAGATCGCTCTGCAGGGTGTGAAGCGAATGAGGTCTGTCCACTGGCCGCTCAACGCTTGCTTCCGTGGAGTGGAAGCGAGGAACCGCAGTGTATGCAGAGTCGCAGATCGCTCTGCAGAGTGTGAAGCGGAGAAGGATCACAGCAGAGTGTAATAAATGCTGGCTTGGGTGGGTGTGATGGTGTGGATGTCAGCACATGACGAGCAGAAGCGGCCAGCGGGCAGTAGCACTCAGTATTGTGCTCGCGGGGTGCACTGCTGTTTGTTTGCTGTCCTGCTTGAGAGCTGGTAATGTCTGCCACCACCTTGATGGCACCACTGCGCAAGCCCAGGGGCACTTGCGTCTGTGCCCTTTCGCTTGCTCTGAATCTCTGATCCAGTTCGTTGTTTTCTCTTCTTATACTCGATACTTTTCTGTCATTAGTGCTTTTCTGTTTCTTCTTCCCTTTTCCCAGGTTCTTGTAGCCGTCCTGTCGGTTCTGTCAATAATATGCATGTCTCTTTCTTGTCCTAGATCCTGAGTGTTCGTTTCGTGTTTGAAACGGACTGTATATAGAATTCTTATAAAGCTGTCTGAATTCAGAACTTGATTGATTTATATACTTTGATCTCTCTCTCTCTCTCTCTCTCTCTCTCTCTCTCTCTCTCTCTCTCTCTCTCTCTCTCTCTCTCTCTCTCTCTCTCTCTCTC